TGGATTCAAAATGCCGCATAAGGCCAGGTAATAAATGAAAGCTGGCGCTCATATATTGATTACCCAGTACCCACTACCCACACCAGATCCTTGTTATTGCATATTGCGCTGTACCTTGTCAATTTCCCTTTTGTTCTGCACCTTCTCCAAGCACCTTGTTATTATACTCCTCATTCATGGTGCCACATTCAGCCGGGCCTACCTTGTCCACTCAGCTACATCTCATCACCTCGTCAGCTTTCTTGCACCTTTTCCAGGTAGCTTGTGTTCATATTCTGTTCACTTTGTCACCTTTTGCTTACCTTTTCCAAGTTCCCATTTTTCACCTTCTGTTGACCTCGTGACCTTGTTTTACCTTTTCCAAGTACCTTTGTTCATCTTCTGCTCACCTCGTCACTTTTTTTTTTATATCTCTTCAATCTACGGCATTTTTACCTGTATTTCACTTTTTTCATGTATGTTTATAGAAAATGCAACCATCCCAAGATCACAACAGTAGTAGTAGCATGATGAATAACCTGTTCAAGGTACAGAGCATGAACAATAGCAAGTGTAGCCAGAGCAGCAGAAGCAGCCCACGCTCCCGTGGTGATGAGCTTCTTCCTGCATAGAAATTAATGGACGTATCCATCAATGTTAATACGACTGCACATCGTGCAGACGCATGATTTGCGCACTCACTGCATCATGATTTAGTATGATAGCAGAACGAAGTCTTGACGCAGCCGGCCAGCAATTTGTTGTAACGCGGCAGACACAGAGCAACATCACATCTTGAACAACTAGCAGTACAGAGATGGCAGCCGCAGCCGTCTTCGTACGAAGTAGAATGCGATATAAGGCGATATTGCTTTTCACAAAAATGCCTTGGGACATGCCTCAAGAGAATGTATTTGTGGTATGCGGCCGGCAGGTGGCCCCTGACACTGAACATGCTGATGTGGGAGGCCCCAGCAGCTGGCCTGCTTCAACCTCAGCGTGGAGTGTCGGGCATGTGTGTACCACTGTTGACATAAAGGTCTTCATTCTGTAGCCACCCTTGGAAGTTGGCCACAGATTGTCGCACACTGGCTGTGACGTTGCAATTCCAATGCAAACTGGAAAGAGGCAGCTCAGCGATGTTTCGTTGAGCATCGCTGCGAATGCTGTGCAGCGTTGGGAGCATGCGCTGCAGTACTCGACTGAGATGAGTTTTTTTCTTTGCTCTAGCCAGGCTTGTTCGAGAGCTTGTGCCCACAAACCAGTACCCCGCGACCACAGGCTGCTGGCGCGAAATGCTCCACTTCAAGGCCGCATGTTAGCAGACAGTTTGGTATTCTGATTGTTTCATTTGGCTCCCACGCCCTCCCCTTCGCCACGCACGCTGCGTGTTTTGTGCTTTTTGCGATCTAAGAGTAAGAGGCATCTGTCCCATGCATACAGGCTGAGTGGCCGAAGTATCAGGATCTTTCAGGGGAATCCTGCTGCAGACAGCTTGCATGCAAGGCACCTTTCTCAACGTAGCCATTGCCGCTTTGGCAGAAGGGAGGCAGTGGGAAGGCCGGGCCGGCCATGAGTGCGTTTCATTTGGGCTTTCCGAAAATGCATGAGGGTCGTGCATGGACATGCCATAGGGGATCCCTACCACACTGAACGAACATGAAATAATGTCATCCCTAAATCCTTTCTAGAGGCCGCGCAAGCTCATCAAACGGCGATCTCTCATTTCAGAAAGCGCTAGTCACTAGTCTTTGAACCCTACATATCTCCGACAGCCCGACACCCCTGCCATACCGTTTCATCAAGAAACCCATAGAAACTCCTGACCACTGAGCTTTCTACTATGCAAGACATGCTAGGCCCTCAACCTCTCACGCAACTCTGAACCTTAGATCCGAAATCCCAAACCCAAACCCTAACCCTAGATGCTAGATCGCCCTAGACCCCAAACCCAGAGAAATCCTCCCATTTTGGCAGTTGCCTTAGCGCTCCTCGCGCACACCTCGGCATGGAGCCCCGGGGGAATGTCTGGGCAGTCACTTTAGGAGTTTACCCTCCCCCAAACCAACTTAGCATCTCAAAAGCATGCAAAAACACTGTACAGACTACTGTCCTTTTAAAGGCGGTACTTTGGGCGTCATGTTAGTTGAGGGGAATAATAGGGAAGGTACATGGAATACTTACAATTTTCAGGCCCATTCATCAGAAACTGAGATCTATGCGAAATCATTGGGTCATTCATGACAGGAAGCTTTGCAGATCTGCAACCGAGGATGTGGTTGCTTTGAGCAGCTGCATGGCATCATTGGAAGGCCTGGCAGGGTTCCCCCCCAGGGATCCATCACTTACTTTTATGCTCGGAGTTGGGGAATTTCGCGAGAGGTGTCGG